CTCAAAAATTGGCTAATCAAATTAATGATCTCCGCCAGAGCACGATCTGGTTGGGAGGCAGAGTAATGAACCTTGAGCATGGCATGCAGTTACACTGTGCTTGGAATATGTCTGACTACTGAGTCACACCTTATGTTTATAATGAAACTCAACATCACTGGGAATCAGTCAGAAGACATTTAAAAGCATGGGATGGAAACTTGACTCTCGATATCTCTAAATTAAAAGAGCAAATCTCTGAAGCCTCCAAGGCTCATTTAAATACTGCACACGGATCAAGAGTATTTGACATAATCACCAATAACTTATCTGGACTCAACCCTACAGAATGGACGAAGTCCTTTGGAGGTTCAGTAGTGTTTCTAGCAGTGTTAACTCTTTTCTTTTCTTCCCTTTTTTTTTTAAGACGGGGTTTCAGCATGTTGGTCAGGCTGGTCTTGAACTCCCAACCTCAGGTGATCCGCCCACCTTGGCGTCCAAAGTGCTTGGATTACAGGTGTGAGCCACCATGCCCGGCCTAGCAGTGTTAACTCTTACCTGTCTGTGTTGTTTATTTCTCGTCTGCCAACGTGTACAGGGAATCCAACGAGACACTAGAAGCCAACAACAAAAAATGATGGCCATGGCGATTCAACAAGAAAGGGGGAGATGTGGGGGGAACCCCACAAGTGCCAAGGCAAGGGTCTGAAGCCTCAGCCTGTTCCCATATGAATATTGATTTAGAAAAAAATTAAAAATGTAGGCACATGGTTATTCCTTTATATAATCATATATACTCTAATAGTTACCTATAATCCTAAAGATATATACTCAATATAAACTTTAATTTTACTAATGACTATCGGGTTATGAAGTATGGAGCTCAGGTGACACCGTGAACAAGGTGAGCCTAAGGCAAGATGCTCTAAGCCCTCTGTGACACCCACGTAAGGGCAGCTGGAGGCGGCCTCGGCTGTGCGGCAGCGCCAGCGCTGGGAAAGGCCCGCTGTTTAGCCAGCTAGGGAAGGAGACGTCCGGAATGGCCGAGATGTCTCCTTCCTGGGGGAGTCAGGAGAAAACTCCGCTCCTCCAAGCTCTGTGGCAAGGCCCGGCGGCTGTCAGGGAGGCCCACAGACATCCGGGGGCTTAACTGTGTCTATGTGATGCTGGCTTCAGTGGTCACGTTCCATGTCCGCTCTCACGCTCCGCTTCTGCACCTGGCCCCTCTTTTTCTCAGAAGATAAGAATTAATGTCCTTGACATTTCTAACAAATATGCGAAGAGCGCTGATGCAGTAGGTTTTCTCCTCTGAGAAAGAGAGCAGCACCACCCTCTCAGGGATGCTGTGGAACCCTGTGTCAGTCCCACAATCTTTGAGGAGTCAGGCTTCAAGGCCACCACTCCCCACTGTCCCTCACCCCAGGCGCATCCAGTGGGCCTCTGCTGGCCACTCAGTCCCGGGCTTCTCTCAGTGTTCAAGGAGCCTCAGGGAGCCTCTGTCCTCTGCAGAGTCACCTCTGCCCTACCCTTCATCTCCGTTCACTGGGCTCCAGCACTGGGGCCTTTGTCCCCAAGGAACAGGGAAGGCTTTGGTTGTACCCCAGATCCAAGGACCAAACCTGGACGCATTGATTCTGCAGAAGCTTTATTTATTGGTAGATTCAGATTCAGCGTCCTGACTCAGTTACTCCAGTACCATCAGCCACCACAGCTCAGGGCTCTAGGGCTCTCTCAGGGCCCGTGGTGAACTCGGCCTCGGTCCCAGGAACCCGGCCAGGCACCAGGCACTGCCTGAGCCTGAGGAAGGCCCCAACTCCAGGTCACCCATGGGTCCCACGGAGCTTCTGTAGACTCTTGACCTGCCACCCTCAGGTGGAAGCCGTCAGGCTGAGCTGGAGAAGGCTCTGAGCCAGCGTCTCCCCACCTCTGCCATCCAGCGCTGCTGCCAGTGCTGAGTGGAGACAGCCCAGAGGTGACCCTGAAATGCCTGTCACTGTGCCCAGCCCTGCTTGCGTAGGCTGCAGAGCCAAGACAGCAAATACCATACATCCATGGGCATTTGGGTTGGTTCCAGGTCTTTGCTATTGTAAACAGTGCCGCAATGAACATATGTGTGCATGTGTCTTTATAATAGAACGATTATATAATCCTTTGGATATATACCCAGTAATGGGATTGCTGGGTCAAATGGAATTTCTGTTTCTTGTTGTTTTGCAAATATAGTATGATTTTAATTTGTAATGATAACATGCTTAGAAAACAAAAGATGTTCTAAAGTTTTACCAGACTATAAAAGGTTTTTTATTTTTTATTTTATTGCACTTTATGTTCTGGGGTACATGTGCAAAACAGGCAGGATTGTTGCAGAGGTACATACATGGCAATGTGGTTTGCTGCCTCCATCCCCCCATCACCTATATGTGGTGTTTCTCCCCCTTTTATCCCTCCCTACCCTCCCTACCCCCCACTGCCCCTCTCCTATTCCCCTCAACAGACCCCAGTGTGTGATGCTCCCCTCCCCGTGTCCATGAGTTCTCTCTGTTCAACACCCACCTATGAGTGAGAACATTTGGTGTTTGATTTTCTGTTCTTGTGTCAGTTTGCTGAGCATGATGGTTTCCAGATTCATCTATGTCCCTACAAAGGACACGAACTCATCGTTTCTTATGGCTACACAGTATTTCTTGGTGTATATGTGCCACATTTTCCCTGTCCAGTCTATCACTGATGGGCATTTGGGTTGGTTCCAGGTCTTTGCTATTGTAAACAGTACTACAATGAACATACGTGTGCATGTGTCTTTATAATAGAACAATTTTTTTTTTGGAGACAGAGTCTCACTCTGTCGCCAGGCGCTAGGCTGGAGTGCAGTGGCACAACCTCGGCTCACTGCAACCTCTGCCTCCTGGGTTCAAGCAATACTCCTGCCTCAGCCTCCCAAGTAGCTGGGACTACAGGCGCATGCCACCACGCCCAGCTAATTTTTGTATTTTTAGTAGAGATGGGGTTTCACCATGTTGGCCAGGATGGTCTCGACCTCTTGACCTTGTGATCTGCCTGCCTCGGCCTCCCAAAGTGCTGGGATTACAGGCTTGAGCCACCGCGCCTGGCCTATGATAGAACAATTTATAATCCTTTTGATATATACACAGTAATGGGATTGCAGGGTCAAATTAAATTTCTATTTCTAGGTCCTTGAGGAATTGCCACACTGTCTTCCACAATGGTTGAACTAGTTTACACTCCACCAACAGTGTAAAAGTGTTCCTATTTCTCCACATCCTCTCCAGCATCTGTTGTCTCCAAATTTTTTAATGATTGCCATTCTAACTGGTGTGAGGTGGTATCTCAAGGTGGTTTTGATTTGCATTTCTCTAATGACCAGTGATGATGAGCATTTTTTCATATGTTGGTTGGTCTCATAAATGTCTTCTTTTGAAAAGTGTCTGTTCATGTCCTTCACCCACTTTTGAATGGGTTTGTTTGTTTGTTTTTTTCTTGTAAATCTGTTTTAGTTCTTTGTAGATTCTGGATATCAGCCCTTTGTCAGATGGGTAGACTGCAAAAATTTTTTTCCATCCCGTTGGTTGCCGGTTCACTCTAATGACTGTTTCTTTTGCTGTGCAGAAGCTCTGGAGTTTGATTAGGTCCCATTTGTCTATTTTGCTTTTGTTGCCAATGCTTTTGGTGTTTTAGTCACGAAGTCCTTGCCTATGCCTATGTCCTGAATGGTGTTGCCTATGTTTTCTTCTAGGGTTCTTATGGTGTTAGACCTTATGTTTAAGTCTTTAATCCATCTGGACTTAATTTTAGTGTAAGGTGTCCCATGGTTTGAAATCCTCAGTGGAGAAGTGGCAAGGAATCCCAAGTCCCCCTCACCCCTTCATGAGGCCATGATCCCCACGAGGATGCAGGTCCCCTGACTCTCCCCTGCTCTTTGACCCAATGCAAAAGGAGAGGCCTACATCTCTGGAGTAGGTCTGTGTTGAGAGAAAGGGGAGCAGGGGAGGGAGCCTGCAGGAGGCCTCTCTGGACCCCCATCATTTTCCACACAAAGGCCCACTGTGCCATAAGCCAGGGCTGAGTGCGGCAGGGCTCTGGGGATTGGGGACTTCTCCCAGGCATAGCAGGCAGCACTGGGGAGCATTGGGCCCTGTCTGGAGACAGTTTTGGTTGTGACATAGGGGAGTATTCCTGGCCTATGGTGGGTGGACGCCAGGGATGTTGCCACATGTCCTGCGAGGCACAGGACAGCCCCCCCACCCTCCTCTCTAACAAAGAATTATCTCACCCAAACCTCAGCGCTAGTTCCCGCCCAGATGAGGACCGAGAGCCTGGAAGGATGGGTCTACAGGGTTGCCCTCCCCGGGCCCTCTGCTTCCTGTCCTGGCTGCGACTGCACCCTTGGTGTCCTTCCCTCCCATGGCCCGTGAGCCCCTGAACACGGGCTCATCCCCACTCCATCCAGATGTGGCACAGAGGAGAGACACAGGCAGCCTCCAAGGGCCACACCTGGAGGCACAGAATCTGGCATGCCTGTTGCACGGGGCACAAAGGGGTGGGTGGTCCACTTGGGGTCCCTCAGAGCCCACAGTGAGCTCAGCCTGGGTCCCAGGAATGCTGCCAGGCACCAGACGCTCAATTCAAGGTCACTCATGGTGGAAATGGGCCCCATGGAGCTTCTGTGGACCCTTTCCCCGCCAACCTCGAGTGGAAGCCGTCAGGCTGAGCTGGAGAAGGCTCAGAGCTAGCGTCTCCCCACCTCTGCCGTCCAGCGCTGCTGCCAGTGCTGACTGGAGACAGCCCAGAGGTGACCATGAAAAGCCTGTTACTGTGCCCAGCCCTGTTTGTGTAGGCTGCAGAGCCAAGACAGCAAATATCACACATCCGGGAGCCGTCCCCCAGGAAGATCCCCACCACCAGCTCCTTCCTGTCCCCATGGTGTCCCCTCACTCCTTCCTTCTGGATGGGGGCCAGAGGGCAAAGGAGGGTATAAAGGCGACCTGGAGGGACCCAGGCACAAGCAGACGCCAGCGAAGACTCTCCCGGCCAGGTAAGGTGCTTGGCTCCATGGTGGGGCCCGGTAAGGTCATGCTGGCCCTTGCTTTGGAGTCAGGAGCCCTCTCATCTTCCCCCAGATCCCTGGGATGCGCCAGCCAGAGGCCATGCTGCTGCTGCTCACCCTGGCCCTCCTGGGGGGCCCCACCTGGGCAGGGAGTAAGTCCGCGGGGTCTGCGCCCAATCTCCCCTGCCTCCCTCCAGACTCACTCTGGTCACAGAACCATCCTGTCTGGCTAGAGGGGCGGGTCCCCTGTTCTGGCAGAGGTCGCCCCCATATCACGGCATGGGGATTTTCTCCCCCTTGGTTCTCTCTTCCCTGCAGAGATGTATGGTCCTGGAGGAGGGAAGTATTTCAGCACCACGGAAGACTACGACCACGACATCACAGGGCTGCGGGTGTCTTCGGCTCTTATGGTGAAAAGGTGAGTAAGGCCGTGGTCATGGGCCCCACGCCATGTCCCGACCCGTCCCACAGTTTCAGGAACTCAGGGCAGGGATGGGCGCCTGTAGGCACTTTTCCCACTTCCTGCCCGGCTCCTGCCGATGCTTCCCGGCTGGAGCAGAGAAGGTCAGATGACCGTCCCCCCACCTTCTCCCTTCAACCCAAACTCGACTCAACCGAAAATGGCCTCTCCATCTCCAAGCCTGATAGGAAGGTCAGGGGAAAGTCTGTTCACTTACTGTCAGAGAAGACAGGAGGTGAGGGTCAGAGTGGACCACCGACTGAACATGAATCACGGAACTGTTAGAGGCAGAAATCCAGGCCATTTCCCTAACATCAGGGTGTCTCTGCTCAAGGTCTGGGATGGATTTCTGCCTTGCACTTAGGAGTTCTGGGGTCCTGGAGGAGGGCATGGAGAGAGAAGCCCAAGAGCAGAGGAGACAGCGTGTGGGCAGGGCGAGCCAGAGGGCTGTGTCCTCGGAGGGCACCAGGGTGAAGGAGGGACGCAGATGAGCCCCCAGGGGAAGCGCTGCTGAGCCCCTCGGCCGGTAAGCTGCTCTGCTCAGAGTGACTCGGGCTCCTTGGGTCCGGGCTCAGCCAGAGGCAGCTCCTGTGTGGGCCATCATGACAGCAGCCGGTGCCTTCTGGGGTCATGGGACCCGGGCACTGCACAGAGCTCTCCTCGTCACCACCTCGGTGACTCCTGCCAACAATCACACCCACTTTGCAGATGGGAAAACTGAGCCCAGAAAGCCTGGGTAACTAGTTCAAGATTATAGAGCCGGAAAGTGGTAGAACCAGGGTTGGTGACCAGTGAGTCTGTGTCAGGGACCCAAACGCTGATGGTGCTGGTCTCTGCATCCCAGGAAGGAGGGTGGGGGTGCTGGGGACCTGGATGTGCTGGGCCATCCCAGATCTGGACATCCAAAGCTTTGCCTCTCTCCCAGTGTCCAGGTGAGACTTGGCGACTCCTGGGATGTTAAACAGGGCGCCTCAGGTGGGCAGACCCAGGAAGTCATCCTGGAGCAAGGCGAATACATCATAAAAGTCGTTGGCGCCTTCAAAGTTTTCCTGCAGGGTATGGCCCTGTGCACCAACAAAGGCCGCTGTTTCTATTTTGGGAAGCTTGAGGGGAATTTCTTCTCTGCCTCCCCCAGCCAAGAGGGGCAGGGGCTGGTGGGCATCTATGGCGAGTATGGACTCCTCGGCATCAAGAGCATTGGGTTTGAATGGAACTATCCAGTAGAGCAGCAGACTGCTGACTGACTCTAATGACCATTAAAGGGGCCCATGGGTCAATAGGTTGAGTTATGTGGCCACCCAAGTTGAGGCCATCTGGGAGGTGGTGGCTGATGGTACTGGAGTAACTGAGTCAGGACGCTGAGTCTGAATCCACCAATAAATAAAGCTTCTGCAGAATCAATGCATACAGGTTTGGTCCTTGGATCTGGGGTACAACCAAAGCCTTCCCTGCTCCTTGGGGACAAAAGTCCCAGTGCTGGAGCCCAGTGAGCGGAGATCAAGGGTAGGGCAGAGGTGACTCTGCCGAGGACAGAAAGAGAGCAGCACCACCCCCCGCCAGGGATGCTGTGGGACCCTGTGTCAGTCCCACAATCTTTGAGGAGTCAGGCTGCAAGGCCACCACTCCCCACTGTCCCTCACCCTAGACCCATTCAGCGGGCCTCTGCTGGCCACTCAGTCCCGGGCTTCTCTGAGTGTTCAAGGAGCCTCAGGGAAGCCACCCACTCATCCATTCACTCAACAAACATTTGCCAAGGCCTTGTCCTCACCAGGCTCCCCTGGCACTGGGGGTATAAAGCAAAGGCCAAGTAGCCGGGCGCGGTGGCTCAAGCCTGTAATCCCAGCACTTTGGGAGGCCGAGGCAGGTGGATCACGAGGTCAAGAGATCGAGACCATCCTGGTCAATGTGGTGAAACCCCGTCTCTACTAAAAATACAAAACATTAGCTGGGCATGGTGGCACGTGCCTGTAATCCCAGCTACTCAGGAGGCTGAGGCAGGAGAATTGCCTGAACCCAGGAGGCGGAGGTTGCGGTGAGCCGAGATAGCACCATTGCACTCCAGCCTGGGTAACAAGAGCGAAACTCCGTCTCAAAAAAAAAAAAAAAAAAAAAAGAAAAGGCCAAGTTTCCAGCTGAGGGCAGATGCCTCATGTGTGGTAGGGGATGGTGCAGAGGCAGATAGTGGCAGTTCACTTTGCCATCCGCATGGATGGGGACACATGCAGCTCATGGTGCATAGGCACTTCCCCAGGCGTGAGGTGAGGGGGATGTGCTTCAGGGAAGTCTTCCTGGAGGAGGCAATGTCTGAGCTAAGTCTTAAAGGATGAGGGAGAATTAGCCAAGTGGAGTCAAGGGGAGGAGGGCATTACAGATTGAAGGCTCTGCATGAGCAAAGGCACGAGATGCAGACGGCTGGGGACAGCAGGCCTCACATTGTAATTTGTCACAGCAGAAACAGGAAATCAGTACAGGCCCTGGACCCAGCCCATTCTTCCTGTTCCCTTCCCGAGTCTCCAAGCCCACATTGGCACTTGCCAAGATCAGAGCCCCAGGGGCCTCCAGGGACAGGGTTTTCAGCCCTTTGGGACCATGATCCACAGACAGAAATTGATCCTACTTGAGACACAAGAAGCAACACGTGTAATGGAACAGCCAAAAACACCCAGTGGTCAGTCATCTAATGCAGCAGCCAAACACCCAGTGATTGTCTAATGCTACAGCCAAACACCCAGTGATCAGGGGAAGGGTCAGGTCCTGTTCCAAGGGCTCCACCCAAAGTCTCCACCCACAACAATGGAAGGACAGGACTTCAATTATCCTCATTTGCAAAATGAAGAAACTGAGGCACTGAGGGCAAAGTGACTGGTCCTACACAGCAGTTAGAGGCAGCGTTGGAGGTTGGCCTTGAGGTGGCCACGCTGCAAAGCCTGGCCCCTGAACCCCTATAGGGTCCAGCCCTATAGGGTTCTGTGAGCCGCTCCCTGCTGGTAAGGAGATGAGAAACTGTAGAATAAAAGAGAAAGAGAAAGAGGAAAGAGAGTTTGGGCTCGGGGGTCCACTGCCAACCAAATTGCGGAGACCTGCAGTGGCCCCGAGTGCCTGGATACTGACATTTATGGAGTACAAAGCGGGGGGCAGGGAAGGTAGGGTGAGGTACTGGTGGTCAGTGACAGGGTCAGGTAAATCACATGTCTTGGAGACAGAGGGCCCAGGACTTTCGTGTAGCTGAGGTGAGGAGAAAACCTACTGCATCAGCGCTCTTTGCATATTTGTCAGAAATGTCAAGGACATTAATTCTTTTTTTTTTTTGAGACGGAGTTTCGCTCTTGTTACCCAGGCTGGAGTGCAATGGCGCGATCTCGGCTCACCGCAATCTCCGCCTCCTGGGTTCAGGCAATTCTCCTGCCTCAGCCTCCTGAGTAGCTGGGATTACAGGCACGCACCACCATGCCCAGCTAATTTTTTGTATTTTTAGTAGAGACGGGGTTTCACCATGTTGACCAGGATGGTCTCGATCTCTCGACCTCGTGATCCACCCGCCTCGGCCTCCCAAAGTGCTGGGATTACAGGCTTGAGCCACCGCGCCTGGCCATTAATTCTTATCTTCTGAGAAAAAGAGAAACCAGGTGCAGAAGCGGAGCGTGAGAGCCGACATGGAACGTGACCACTGAAGTCAGCATCGCATAGACACAGTTAAGCCCCCGGATGTCTGTGGGCCTCCCTGACAGCCGCCGGGCCTTGCCACAGAGCTTGGAGGAGCGGAGTTTTCTCCTGACTCCCCCAGGAAGGAGACATCTTGGCCATTCCGGACGTCTCCTTCCCTAGCTGGCTAAACAGCGGGCCTTTCCCAGCGCTGGCGCTGCCGCACAGCCGAGGCCCCCTCCAGCTGCCCTTATGTGGGTGTCACAGAGGGCTTAGAGCATCTTGCCTTAGGCTCACCTTGTTCACGGTGTCACCTGAGTTCCATGCTTCATAACCCGATAGTCATTAGTAAAATTAAAGGTTATACTGAGCATATATCTTTAGGATTATAAGTAACTATAAGATTACATATGATTATATAAAGGAATAACTATGTGCCTACATTTCTAATTCATTTCTAAGTCGATATTTATATGGGAACAGGCCGAGGCTTCAGACCCTTGCCCCGGCACTTGCGGGGCTCCCCCCAACACTGGAGCCACCCCATCCTCCCCTCCCTGCCTTTACCCAACACTGTCCCATCTCAGTTCCCCTGGCCTCACCTGGACATCCCCACATGGGGCCTGAAGGGGTACAGGCCTGGGTTGAAGGGGTGGAAATGCTTGTCGAGGCTGGAGAAAAGGTGCATGAGGTTCAGAGAGAAACTTCTGAAGGAAGGCTCCTCCCCAGGGTCATGCTGGCTCCCCTGGAGCCCCTCAGTGGCAAGTGACAGAAATCTGCTTATGTGAGCAGGTACAGAAAAGACCTTTCCTGCCTTCCCCTGATTGGATAGCTGCAGTTCTGTCTCCCCCACTGGTCCTCTGCTCTGTCCAAGGAGGGCCTGACTTTTCTGACAGGCCCGATCCTGACTGCCATGCCAGCTTCTGCCTCTTGGGACCCATCCTGCTCTCAAAGTGCCCAAAGTATCTTGAGTTAGGGTCACCAATTTTAGTAAATAAAAACATAGCAAGCCTGGGCCACATAGCAAGACCCTGTTTCTACCAACCAACAAACCAATCAACCTGGGCATGGTGGCATGTGCTTGTAGTCTCAGTGACTCAGGAGGCCGAGGTGAGAGGATCGCCTGAGCCCAGGAGTTACAGTGAGCCATGATCGCACCAGTGCATTCCAGCCTGGGCAGAAAAAAATAAAATAAATAAATAAAAGAAACAATAAACACAAGTGAAAGAAACTTACTAAAACATAAATTTTAAAAGAATGAAATAGAACTTTAATCTCCAGGCTTAACTTGCTCAGAAGAGAAAAACAAAACAAAAAGAAAAAAGACCTTTGAGAAGTAAACGGTAACTAATGGAGCTGTAGGGCTGGTCCGAGGGAGGCCCCCAGTTGACCCTATGAACTTCTCATTTCTCTTGCAGAAAGGAAGGAGTTTCTTCTGCAAAGCAACTACAGATAACGCTTGTCAAAATATTTTCTTAAATGTGCTCTATGCCTGGGCTTTGATTTGCAACACGTTGAATGGCAAATCTGATTGTCGTAATTTTGAACTGGTGACGGGTGTAAGTTTCAAGGTGTCTGTGACCACAGTAATTGATATGGTCATCTCATGGGCATTGCATATGAGGTCACATTCATACCTGAAGCAAACATAAAATTTTCAGTCAGGAATAATAAAAATAAAGAGGTAAATGTTCCCTCCATCCCAGTTCATGGATTCTCTGCCTTTTTGATTTCTGATTTTTGTCCACAGACCCCAGGTTAAGAAGTGGCTCTCAATCAGCATTTAAAATTAAATAAAAATAAAAGCAGAGAAGAGAAAAAAATGTCAGTGTGTATCTCATGCAGAAAGATGAAGCTGGGTTGTGAAATCTTTGCCTACGTCTGGAGTTCAGGGGCCAGGCTTTGCAGCGTGGCCACCTCAAGGCCAACCTCCAACGCTGCCTCTAACTGCTGTGTAGGACCAGTCACTTTGCCCTCAGTGCCTCAGTTTCTTCATTTTGCAAATGAGGATAATTGAAGTCCTGTCCTTCCATTGTTGTGGGTGGAGACTTTGGGTGGAGCCCCTGGAACAGGACCTGACCCTTCCCCTGATCACTGAGTGTTTGGCTGTTGCATTAGACGATCACTGAGTGTTTGGCTGCTGCATTAGATGACCGCTGGGTGTTTGGCTGTTGCATTAGATGACCGCTGGGTGTTCGGCTGCTGCATCAGATGACCGCTGGGTGTTCGGCTGTTGCATCAGATGACCGCTGGGTGTTCCGCTGCTGCGGCTGCTGCATCAGATGACCGCTGGGTGTTCGGCTGTTGCATCAGATGACCGCTGGGTGTTCCGCTGCTGCATCAGATGACCGCTGGGTGTTCGGCTGCTGCATCAGATGACCGCTGGGTGTTCGGCTGCTGCATCAGATGACCGCTGGGTGTTCGGCTGCTGCATCAGATGACCGCTGGGTGTTCGGCTGCTGCATCAGATGACCGCTGGGTGTTCGGCTGCTGCATCAGATGACCGCTGGGTGTTCGGCTGTTGCATTCAATGACCGCTGGGTGTTTGGCTGTTGCATTAGATGACCACTGGGTTTTGGCTGTTGCATTAGATGACCACTGGGTGTTTTTTTGGCTGTTCCATTACACTTATTGCTTCTCGTGTCTCAAGTAGGATCAATTTCTGTCTCTGGATCATGGTCCCAAAGGGCTGAAAACCCTGTCCCTGGAGGCCCCTGGGGCTCTGATCTTGGCAAGTGCCAATGTGGGCTTGAAGACTCGGGAAGGGGACAGGAAGAATAGGCTGGGTCCAGGGCCTGTACTGATTTCCTGTTTCTGCTGTGACAGATTACCACAGTGTGAGGCCTGCTGTCCCCAGTCGTCTGCATCTCGTGCCTTTGCTCATGCAGAGCCTTCAATCTGTAATGCCCTCCTCCCCTTGACTCCACTTGGCTAATTCTCCCTCATCCTTTAAGACTTAGCTCAGACATTGCCTCCTCCAGGAAGACTTCCCTGAAGCACATCCCCCTCACCTCACCCCTGGGGAAGTGCCTACGCACCATGAGCTGCATGTGTCCCCATCCATGCGGATGACAAAGTGAACTGCCACTATGTGCCTCTGCACCATCCCCTACCACACATGAGGCATCTGCCCTCAGCTGGAAACTTGGCCTTTTCTTTATACCCCCAGTGCCAGGGGAGCCTGGTGAGGACAAGGCCTTGGCAAATGTTTGTTGAGTGAATGGATGAGTGGGTGGCTTCCCTGAGGCTCCTTGAACACTCAGAGAAGCCCGGGACTGAGTGGCCAGCAGAGGCCCGCTGGATGGGTCTAGGGTGAGGGACAGTGGGGAGTGGTGGCCTTGCAGGCTGACTCCTCAAAGATTGTGGGACTGACACAGGGTCCCACAGCATCCCTGGGGGGCGGGTGGTGCTGCTCTCTTTCTGTCCTCAGCAGAGTCACCTCTGCCCTACCCTTGATCACTGGGCTCCAGCACTGGGGCCTTTGTCCCCAAGGAGCAGGGAAGGCTTTGGTTGTACCCCAGATCCAAGGACCAAACCTGGATGCATTGATTCTGCAGAAGCTTTATTTATTGATGGATTCAGATTCAGCATCCTGACTCAGTTACTCCAGTACCATCAGCCACCACCTCCCAGATGGCCCTGTACCCCACCCTAGTGACCCATGAGTGCCTTTCATTCACATGCGGAAGTAACTGGTGACTCAGTGGTCGGCTCCTCTACTGGATAGTTCCATTCAAATCCAATGCTCTTGATGCCGAGGAGTCCATACTCGCCATAGATGCCCACCAGCCCCTGCCCCTCTTGGCTGGGGTAGGCAGAGAATAAATTCCCCTGAAGCTTCCCAAAATAGAAACAGCGGCCTTTGTTGGTGCACAGGGCCATACCCTGCAGGAAAACTTTGAAGGCGCCAACGACTTTTATGATGTATTCGCCTTGCTCCAGGATGACTTCCTGGGTCTGCCCACCTGAGGCGCCCTGTTTAACATCCCAGGAGTCGCCAAGTCTCACCTGGACACTGGGAGAGAGGCAAAGCTTTGGATGTCCAGATCTGGGATGGCCCAGCACATCCAGGTCCCCAGCACCCCCACCCTCCTTCCTGGGATGCAGAGACCAGCACCATCAGCGTTTGGGTCCCTGACACAGACTCACTGGTCACCAACCCTGGTTCTACCACTTTCCGGCTCTATAATCTTGAACTAGTTACCCAGGCTTTCTGGGCTCAGTTTTCCCATCTGCAAAGTGGGTGTGATTGTTGGCAGGAGTCACCGAGGTGGTGACGAGGAGAGCTCTGTGCAGTGCCCGGGTCCCATGACCCCAGAAGGCACCGGCTGCTGTCATGATGGCCCACACAGGAGCTGCCTCTGGCTGAGCCCGGACCCAAGGAGCCCGAGTCACTCTGAGCAGAGCAGCTTACCGGCCGAGGGGCTCAGCAGCGCTTCCCCTGGGGGCTCATCTGCGTCCCTCCTTCACCCTGGTGCCCTCCGAGGACACAGCCCTCTGGCTCGCCCTGCCCACACGCTGTCTCCTCTGCTCTTGGGCTTCTCTCTCCATGCCCTCCTCCAGGACCCCAGAACTCCTAAGTGCAAGGCAGAAATCCATCCCAGACCTTGAGCAGAGACACCCTGATGTTAGGGAAATGGCCTGGATTTCTGCCTCTAACAGTTCCGTGATTCATGTTCAGTCGGTGGTCCACTCTGACCCTCACCTCCTGTCTTCTCTGACAGTAAGTGAACAGACTTTCCCCTGACCTTCCTATCAGGCTTGGAGATGGAGAGGCCATTTTCGGTTGAGTCGAGTTTGGGTTGAAGGGAGAAGGTGGGGGGACGGTCATCTGACCTTCTCTGCTCCAGCCGGGAAGCATCGGCAGGAGCCGGGCAGGAAGTGGGAAAAGTGCCTACAGGCGCCCATCCCTGCCCTGAGTTCCTGAAACTGTGGGACGGGTCGGGACATGGCGTGGGGCCCATGACCACGGCCTTACTCACCTTTTCACCATAAGAGCCGAAGACACCCGCAGCCCTGTGATGTCGTGGTCGTAGTCTTCCGTGGTGCTGAAATACTTCCCTCCTCCAGGACCATACATCTCTGCAGGGAAGAGAGAACCAAGGGGGAGAAAATCCCCATGCCGTGATATGGGGGCGACCTCTGCCAGAACAGGGGACCCGCCCCTCTAGCCAGACAGGATGGTTCTGTGACCAGAGTGAGTCTGGAGGGAGGCAGGGGAGATTGGGCGCAGACCCCGCGGACTTACTCCCTGCCCAGGTGGGGCCCCCCAGGAGGGCCAGGGTGAGCAGCAGCAGCATGGCCTCTGGCTGGCGCATCCCAGGGATCTGGGGGAAGATGAGAGGGCTCCTGACTCCAAAGCAAGGGCCAGCATGACCTTACCGGGCCCCACCATGGAGCCAAGCACCTTACCTGGCCGGGAGAGTCTTCGCTGGCGTCTGCTTGTGCCTTGGTCCCTTCAGGTCACTTTTATACCCTCCTTTGCCCTCTGGGCCCCCATCCAGAAGGAAGGAGTGAGGGGACACCATGGGGACAGGAAGGAGCTGGTGGTGGGGATCTTCCTGGGGGACGGCTCCCGGACGTGTGGTATTTGCTGTCTTGGCTCTGCAGCCTACAAAAACAGGGCTGGGTACAGTGACAGGCATTTCACAGTCACCTGTGGGCTGTCTCCAGTCAGCACTGGCAGCAGCGCTGGACGGCAGAGGTGGGGAGACGCTGGCTCAGAGCCTTCTCCAGCTCAGCCTGACGGCTTCTACCTGAGGGTGGCGGGTCAAGGGTCTACAGAAGCTCCATGGGACCCACTACCACCATGGGTGACCTAGAGTTGGGGCCTTCCTCAGGCTCAGGCAGTGCCAGGTGCCTGGCGGGGTTCCCAGGACCCAGGCCGAGCTCACCATGGGCCCTGAGAGAGCCCAAGTGGACCACCCAGCCCTTTGTGCCCTGTGCGACAGGCACACCAGACGCTGGGCCTCTAGGTGCGGCCTTTGGAGGCTACCTGGGGATGAGCCGGTGTTCAGGGGCTCACAGGCCATGGGAGGGAAGGACACAAAAGGTGCAGTCCCGGTCACGACAGGAGGCAGAGGCCTGGGGAAGGCAGCCCTGCAGACCCGTCCTTCTGAGGTGTTTGTCCGCATCTGGGCGGGAACTGGCGCTTCTCTGGGGCTTGTTCCCAGGGTGCTGCTGATGGTCTCACTCCTTTCCCCCTCGCCCCTCCTGGTTGGGAGGCCTGTGCAGGAAGATGCTGTGTGCAGAGCACCAGCACCCTCAGATGCCAGCTGAGAAGGGCTCATGCTGGAGACATCTCATCCCAAGGATCCTGAAGGTCCCAGGGCCACCCCATGGGGAAGGAACTGGGGTCTGCAGAAGAGGTGGGGTGTCAGATAAGATTAGGGGAGAAGAGCCGGGCGCGGTGGCTCAAGCCTGTAATCCCAGCACTTTGGGAGGCCGAGGCGGGTGGATCACGAGGTCAAGAGATCGAGACCATCCTGGTCAACATGGTGAAACCCCGTCTCTACTAATGGTGCAAAAAATTAGCTGAGCATGGTGGCGCGTGCCTGTAATCCCAGCTACTCCAGAGGCTGAGGCAGGAGAATTGCCTGAGCCCAGGAGGCGGAGGTTGCGGTGAGCCGAGATCGCGCCATTGCACTCCAGCCTGGGTAACAAGAGCGAAACTCCGTCTCGGAAAAAAAAAAAAAAAAAAAAAAAGATTAAGGGAGAAGAGATAAAGGCCATTACATGCCCAAGTGAGGCAGGCACCAGCGGACAGACCGTAGCTCAAGCGGAGTTCCACACATGTCCTCAGGACACCTCTCGTGTGTGTATGGAGGCTGAAGCTCCGCAGGGCCTGTGACCAATGGGAATGGCCACAGGGCAGTGATCACCAGCAGAGGACCCCAGAGCCAGACGGGGGTCCAAGCCGGCTTCCTGATGGAGCAGGGCTGGGAACTGCGGGCACTTGCTTCGCCTCTCTGGGTCTCTGTCCTGTGTGCTTAACAACAGAACCTCCTGCTGAGAGTGCTGTGAGGAGCTGAGATCCTCCCCACGGGGCCGATTGCCCTGAGCCTTAGTCTTTATGCCTTGGGGGATAGTGTACAACATTAATTTTTGGAAAGAGTCAAAGGTGAGAAGTCACGGGGGGAATCTACCTGGAGATGCTGCTCCCGCTGTAGACGCATTTCTCAGGGAAGAAGGGTGTGAGACCAGTGTGTCTGGACCCCACGTGCTTCCCAGGAGGAGTCGTAGGGGAAGGGCTTTGGGCACGCACTGACTGGCTCTGGAAGTGCTGGCTTACCAGAAATGGGGATACTCGTCACAACGGGATGAGGGTGGGCAGGGGCTGCAGGAGGAATGGGTCTTTCATGACTTGAACCAGGTGCCTGCGCCAGGGGTGGCCAGCTATGGCCCAGCCAACCACCACATGATTCTGCCCAGCCCACAAGCAAAGAGAGCCTCCTACATGTCAACAGTGCTAGGAAACATTCAGAAGAATGGTGTCTTGTGGTCCATGAACATTCTGGAAATCCCCATGCCCCCGGTTCGTAAGTCAAGCATCATTGGCTCACAGCCGAGGGTGATCACTGGCATGTGACCTGGGGCTGCATTCATGCCTGCACAGAAGCATAACATGACTGTGACTGAGACCTGCAGCCTGTGAACCTAAAATTGTACTATCTGGCCCCTCACACAAAAAGTCCACCCATCCTGGTGGATACCTACCTATTCCTAAGAACCACCGAAGCCCTGTCCATGGTGCTGGACAGCAGAGTAAGGAAGGGGGCTCCCATGACTCCCAGCCCTGATGGGGCGGGAGCACAGCAGCACATTTGTCTTGGCACCTGACCCTTGTTCTGGCACCTGCACCATCACCCTGGAGGGGCTGGTCAGGGCTGGGCTTCCAGTGACCGGGGTATCAAGGTGAGGCCCCAATTGCACCTCTGCTGCCACCCTTCTGCACCCCCAAGGCTCTTCTGACTTTTGGGGACAGCAGGGGCCAGGTCCGGGAAGGGTCAGCGGAGCCCCACTCAGGAGAAGCCTCCTCCAGGGAGATAGAGGCGGAAGAGGCCGAGTCCTTGGAGGCGGCACAAAGCGGGTTGTGTTCTGGATCCAGCCTCGCCCAAGGGCACCTTCCCAAGTTTGCTGGCAGTTCAGAGGCCTTGTTTCTAACTCCAGGCTGGCAGGGTTTGGCGCCCAGAAGGTGAGTCATCTGGGCCAGGATGCCAGAAGCAGCAGCTGGGTTGGGGGGACTTGGAGGAAGAGCCTGGCCGGAGGGGTGCGGGGACTCGCCCAAATGCCCACTGGAGGGCTGTTGAGACGGCGTGAGCACGGTGATCACACACGCTCACTCACGTGCCCCAGACACACGCGCCTGCCCAGCCTCTCCTGCACTGGGGGCGGGGGTGTGCGCACACGAGGAACACTCCTCACCTGTGTGTCCCCACCTGGCAAGGAAGCCCACCTGGTGGGAGGCACCACCCTCCCCCCTGCCCCCTCCATCTGCCCTGGCCCATGTGCTGGCCCTGAGCCCGTCCTCAGGGAGACTCAACACAGGCCCTTTGTCCCTCGGGATCAGGGCTCCCCAGGAGGGGGATTTACTGAGCATTTATTTCCTGCCCCAGGCACGCCCCAGTCCTCACTGTGCCAGGACAGGGAACAATGAGGCCTTCTCCTGCCAGCAGAGGTGGTCCCAGGCCCTCAGGCCTGTGCGTGTTGGGAGGCGGGTTAGGGCCACAAGCCCCTGGCTTCCCCGGTCTCCCTGCCCTCCAGGTGTGGGGCTTGGGAAGACCCCTGTAAGGTCCAGCCCTACAGGGTCCTTTGAGCCCCTCTCTGCTGGTGAGAAGACAAGAAACTGTAGAAATAAAAGACACAAGATATGGAGATTGAGAGAAAGTTGGGGCCCAGGGGTTCACTGCCAACCAAAGTGCGGAGTCCAGCAGCGGCCCTGAATGCCTGGACGCTCCGACTTTCGTTGAGTACAAAGCTGGGGGCAGGGTAGGTAGCGCATGGCACTGGTGGTCGGTGATAGGCTCAGGTACATCACGTGTCATATAGGTCGTGGCCCAAGGCTTTCTAGTAGCCAAGATGAGTCAAGAAGCATAATGTGTCAGCACTTCTCTGCACTTGTCAAGAGAAAACAAAGACATTAAGATTATATTACTTTTACTGATTATCTCTTCTAAGAAAAAAGGAACCAGGTGCAGAAGCGGAACATGAGAGTGGACCTGGACCGTGACCACTGAAGCCCAGCACCACATAGAGACAGTTAAGCCCCCGGATGTCTGCGGGCCTCCCTGACAGCTATCAGGCCTACCGCAAGAGGTTGGAGGGGCAGAGTTTTCTGCTAACTCCCTCGAGGAAGGAGACATCTCAGCCATCTTGGATGTCTCCTTCCCTAACTGGCTAAATAGCAGGCATTTCCCCAGCTCTGGCGCTGCCACACAGCACAGCCAAGGCGCCCTCCAGCAGCCCTTACACTGGAGTGACAGAGGGCTTAAAGTGTCTTGCCTTAGGGTCATTCCTTTCACAATGTCACCCCAGGTTCACACCTGGTGACCTGAAAGGCATTAGTAAAAGAACTAAGATCACCTATGAATAACTAAAATTACGTATGAATAATTAAGATTACCTGTGAATAACTACTATGGTTATATCTCTAGTTATTTTCCTTCTTCATTATTTATATAATGAAGAAGGAAATAATAGGCTGGGGGCCCCCAGCCTAGTTATATGGAAATAGGCTGAGGCTTCTGACTCCTGTGTCTGCACTTACGGTGTCTCCCCAACACAGACCCCTCTGTGGCTTTGCAGCCTGAGCCACAGCAGACAGAAGGGCCTCCATCTACACCCACTCAGTGGGTGGATCCGCTGCAGCCTGGGGTCAAGGCTGGGCCTCTGAGAGAATCTCCCAGCCTCACTGAAGGCAGGAACCCGAGTCCCTGGTTGGATCTCCAGGTGGACCTGGCCTGGCTGAGACTCTGAGCCAAGCCAGGAGCTGAATTCTCCCAGGGGCCTCAGGGGTTCCCTAGGGCTCAGAAACCAGAGGGAAAGTCCTGCTGGATGAGGGAGGGGCAGGCTCAGAAGCTCAGGGGTCTTTGCCCTCTGCACCAGCAGGCTGAGGCCCGGCTGTGCATGTGACTGGCTGCTGCTGGGGATAAGGCCCCAAGAGAAGGCACCGCAGCCTTGAGCTCTGGAAACCCGCAGCTCCCACAGCCCGCCACACTCACTGAGTTCCCGTTGGTGCCATGCTCAGCGGAAGCATTTTATCTGCACTTTCCCCAGAGAAACCTAATACTTTTGTTGGAAAATCAGAACACTTAACCACACATTTTGCTCAGTCTTTTTTTTTTTTTTTTTTTTTTTTTTTTTTTCAGTCTTTCATGTAATTAACATTCCACGAGTGCAAGTGTTGAAAATAGAATAAACTATATCCAAGTTTCAAGTTGAGGGAGGCAGGTTCCCAGGTTCTGGTTTCCCTAGCCTAGGCGACAAGAGTGAAACTCTGTCTGAATTAAAGAAAAAAAAAAGGCTCGTTTTGGAGGAGGGAGGAGAGCCCAGCTGGAGCCCTCAATGGGGACAGCCTGGGCAGGTGGGGACTGGCCATCCCTCTTCTGGGAGGAAGGGACTCAGGACCATTGTTTTCCCGAGAAAGTCCTGTGAAGGACCAGCAATGCCACCAGGCCCCACCTGGCTCTTGGGGGCCCCCAGGCTTTAAGGGGACTCCCGGCTTAGGGCCAGGCCCTTGATGCTGGAGGAGGTCATGGGTGGAGGATGGGGGCACCCAGCGGGCAGCCAGGACCCCAGGGCTGCAGACAGGAAAGGGACTGTGTTGTCCACCAGGTCTGGGCCACATCAACGAATGTGGTTGAGGATCCGCCCCTAGGAGCTGAAAGCCAGGGCGTTGCCAGGCCTGAGGGTCCCTAAACAGCCCTTGGGCCCAAGGCGGGTGAAGCTGGGGGGAGGGGACAGAGCTCCCACCGCCCCGCCCCCAGGGGGCGCCCCAGGCGCGACGCGGTAGGAGGCAGAGGGGGCGCCAGGCCGCCGGAGAGGAGGCCATGGGCGCTCGAGGGGCGCTTCTGCTGGCGCTGCTGCTGGCGCGAGAGGGACTCGGGAAGCCGGGTGAGCTCGGGGCGTGGCTGGCAGGATGGCGTAGGGGGGCGGTGGGGAGTCAGAGGCCGCGGGGAGCTCACTTCCTGTCTCCTACAGCGTCGCCGGAGGGGGAGCTGTTGTCAGGTAGGGTCCCCAGGACTTGCGATGCTTGTCAGGGCCGCTGGGCCGGGGTGCATAGGGGTGGGGAGCCCATCTACTGCTCTCTGGCCCCCGCCCCCGGGATTGAGAACTCTGTTGGTGTTGAAAGTAACTAATGGGCGCTGGGGGGGATAGGAGGGCCCTACGGACCACGTGGGAGGGTCCCCCGTGTCATCTACTTCCTGCTGCACACGCGGAGGGGACCCTGGGTGGGCAAAACGTGGTTTCCTGGACTGGGCTGACGAGAGAAAGGGAGAGGCTGGGCTTGGGGGGCGGCCTCCCGCAGCTCAGCAGTCCCTCTGACCATCTGAGGACCATGCGGCCAACGGATCATCCAGACGCGCATCCTGGGTGGAGGCAACGCCGAGCTCGGGCGTTGGCCATGGCAGGGGAGCCTGCGCCTGTGGGATTCCCACGTTTGCGGAGCGAGCCTGCTCAGCCGCCGCTGGGCACTCACGGCGGCGCACTGCTTTGACTCGTGAGTGGGAGTGCGAACGGAGGGGTGCAGAGGCGGGCAGCGGCAGGGTTGGGGGTGGGGAGTACCACCTAACGTTACCAACGCTCGGATGCCACACTTGGGCGTGAATGTTGTTCGCGGATGCGACCTGGTGTTCTGAGGCCAGGCTCTGCTGCAGTCGGTTACACCCACTGCAGCTCCCTTTGATTCCCCTGGAGGAAACCCTGTTTAGGTTCTTCCAGAATGTTCTTCCAGAACATTTCCACGCCATTTTTGGTATGCTCTTTTTTTTTTTGACCCAAAGTTCACCACCTTCCATCCCACCCTCATCCCCACTCCTGGTGGACGTGGAGCTCAGGTGTGGGCACTGAGCCAAGGCCAGCTCCCTGGGGAAGCTGTGTGGACTTCATTCCACCAAGCCGCATTGCCACGTGTCCATCTGCCCATTTCTCCTTGGGCTGCATGGGGGTGTCCCTGGAGGTCCCTGGATCAATACAAGTGTCCTTGGGACAGCTCTGGGAAGTGACAAGACCCCACCCTCTTGCTCTAGGAGCAGGTCCTAGGGCTTTGCATGTGGCCTCTCTGGGACCTTTCATTTCTCCAGTGGACCCTGGGCCAGGAGAAAAACTTGCTAATGGCGCCCAGGATGAGCAAGTCGTAGCGACTCCACAGTCTCCCTCCTGGGCTAGTCCCCAGGTGTGCTCAGGCAGCCAGCCCTCCATCCAGGGTCTCTGACTGCTCTCGTCTCGTCTATCAGCTATGGTGACCATGGTGATTCCTCTGGGTGGACGGTCCAGTTTGGCCAGCTGACTTCTGTGCCATCCTTCTGGAGCCTGCAGGCCTATTACACCCGTTACTTCGTGTCGAATATCTATTTGAGCCCTCGATACCTGGCGAATTCACACTATGACATTGCCTTGGTGAAGCTGTCTACACCTGTCATCTACACTAACAATATCCAGCCCATCTGTCTCCTGGCCTCCACATTTGAGTTTGAGAACCGGACGGACTGCTGGGTGACCGGCTGGGGGAACATCCAAGAGGATGAGGGTGAGGCTGGGGACAGGCGGGTCAGGGAGGAGCTATCTTTGTTCACCTGTTCCCCTTCATAGGTGCAACAGCCCCATGCTTGGTCTGGGGGCAGCCTACGCCCCTCCTGCTCACATTCTCCCCTTATCTGCCAGGGTAGGGACCAAACACCTATTTCTCTCCCTTCCAGAGGCTGTGGGGGCCAGCTTGGCGCAGGCCTTCGCGTGGTGGAGGGATTCTGGAGGGCTTGGTGACATAAACTTCAGACCTGGATTTGTTCTTGGATCTTTTCACCTCCCCCAGTGCCTACCAGTGCCGCAGGCATCAGGTTCCCTGGCTGCCTCTCCAAGCCTCCGTCATCCACCCTAGCTCTGGTCAACTCTCTTGGAGCACTGAGCCCATTCCTCTCTCCTGGAAACTTCCAAGCCATGTTCAACTGCACCTCCCATGGAAACCCCTCTGGGGGCCCTCCAGTGGGCCTGCCCTGGAACCTGCATGTCTCCAAACATGCATGCCCTGAAAGAACTGGGCCCAGCATCTGGAGGAGCCCCAGGGCTGGCAGCCCCAGACTGATTGTGTTCCCTGTATCAGGAATCCTCTTCCCTCTGCTCCCCGGTCTGGCCCACAACAGTAGTAACAATAACACGAGGTTCCTTGAGCACACACTGTGTGCCTGGCACTGTTCTAGGCTTGGGGACCCAGCAGTGGGCCAGACGAGGCCTCTCTTCCTCCTGGAACTCACCTAGGAATTGAGTTGGCAATGTTTTTATACCCATTTTACAGATGAGAAGACTGAGATGGTTATGGAAATTGCCAAGAACTAGTAAATGGAGAAGTCAGGGCCCCTTGCCTTAGGGAGTGTAAGGGATGTCCCCAAGTCACACCCTGGCAGTTGGAAGCAGGAGTAGAGAACTCAGCACTGGAGCCACCTCCCTCTAGAGGAGGGGTCCTTTCCCTTCCTTGAGAAGGGTCCCTGCTGCAAAGATGGGTGGGTGTGAACCAGAGGCATGGCCAGGCTGCCTCTGCCACCCTCTCTCCCGGGCCTGGGATGGACAAGTCACACCAACCCCAGGCTGTGCCTCAAGTCATAGTGCCTGGGAGGCAGGAGGCAGGCATTTCTGGAGCCCTCTGCCTGGTGTGCGCCTTTGCTCTGCCCTGGACTGGCTGTGAGGCCTTGGACAAAGCCATGGTGCCTCAGTTTCCTCCCCTATGAAATTGGGTAACAATAGTTCCACATCACAGGCTAGTTCCCAGGTCGTTAATCCTGAGGGCTTAGGAGAGGCTCCACCAATGGGAAGCACTGCCTGCAAGCTGGGTCTTGATGTCTTTGTCATCCTGGGACTCAGAGGCAGGAACTGGATAGGTGTGGGTTCCTGTCAGGCTCTGAGACTTCCCCAGCGCCTTGCCTTTCGATATCCCCCTGACTCTCCTTATCTGGGAGTGAGTCCTGATGACTGCTGCCTCCCAGGGGTGCTGGGGGAGCCCTAAGGGCACGTGACAAGCTTGTGCCAAGGCCCTGAATGCGCCCAGCTGCTACTGAGGCCAGCGCTGCACCCAGGCTGGTGCCACCCCCCCCCCGCCCCGCCCCTGGGTCTGGCCTTGGGTGCTCATCTTAACATCATCTCAGCTGCCTTCTGCCCTCCCCCTGCTCCTTTTGGCTAAGGAATCTTTCCACGGGTGCAAGCAGGGCCACTGTCGCCATTCTACAGATAGGGAAAGTGAGGCTGCGGAGAGCTCTGACAGCCTGTCCATCCCCCGGGCTTCTGTGATGAAGATGCTGAGGGCCTCTGCTGTGCTGGGGGCTGGGCCGGAGCTGGGGCTGATGAGGATGAACTGCCAGGTGCTGCAGGTGCCCCAGGGCCCACCCCCAAAGCCGATTCCATCCCTCCCTAGAGGGGCCTCAGGTTGCTGTCTCTCTCCTTCCCCCATCGTCTCCACAGAGCTGCCGTATCCTTACACCCTCCAGGAAGTGCAGGTCGCCATCATAAACAACACCATGTGCAACCACCTCTTCCTAAAGTCCGATTTCCGCACTGACATCTTTGGAGACATGATTTGTGCTGGCAATGCCCAAGGCGGGAAGGATTCCTGCTTTGTGAGTGTTCCTGCCACCATTCCCAGCCCGGGGCCTGAAAGCAACATGTGTTCCTGTGCCTTATTTGACCCTCAGGTTAACCCCAGGAGGTGGAGACTGTTGCCCCACTCTGCAGACCCAGAAACGGAGGACTGGCTGCTGCCGGGGGGAGGCGGAGGACGTTCACCCAGCCCACCCAGCCCCACAGCCCCTCCCACTCGGCCTCTCCCCTGCCCCACTCACTCCACCCCAGGCTGACCTCACCCCCCATGCCCCTCCGGCTCTCCAGGGTGACTCAGGTGGACCATTGGCCTGTGAAAAGAATGGAATGTGGTATCAGGTTGGAATTGTGAGCTGGGGAGTGGGCTGTGGTCGGCCCTATCGGCCCGGTGTCTACACCAATATCAGCGAGCACTTCGGGTGGATCCAGAAGCTGATGGCCCAGAGTGGCATGGCGCGGCCAGACCCCTCCCGCCTGCTGCTCTTTCTCCCTCTTCTCTGGGCTCCCCCACTTCTGCAGCCGGCCTGAGCCCACCTGAGCCCATGCAGGCTGGGGCCACTGCTAAGTCAGGCCCTGGTTCTCTTCTGTCTTGTTTGGTAATAAACACATTTGAGGTGACGCCTTGCAGAGCATTTCTCAAATGCAGCGGCTTCATGAACAGCCCATTCTCCCTGTGCAGCCAACCTGTTCATGCCCCTGGCTCACACCCACGTCTGTGCTGCACGATAGAACCATCTGGTTATTTCAATCAGAAAGAGAACTGTGCGTTGCCCAGGCTGGTCTTGAACTCCTAGGCTAGTTTCGATCTTCCTGCCTCACCCTCCTGAGTAGCTGAAGTTATAGATGAACATCGTGCCTGGCAATGGAACAGGAGTAGTTCCAGGGTGCCAGGAGCTGGGAGCCAGGAGTTGGGGTGTGTGTATTGGAGTAAATGATCCTGACACCCCACCAAGGATCCAGCACAGAAACGCCAGACATCCTGATCTTACCATGGACCCCCAAGGCTGACCTAGCACCAGGATGTAGGTGCAGGTAGTTTATCTGGGAGGTGACTGCAGGAAGTGGGGAAACCGAGGCAGGGAAGGAAGGAATACCAATGAGTTTGCACAAACAAGGAGATTACCACTGTAGGCAACTGAGGTGCAGTCCTGTGGGGGCCTTAGCATTGGCCCACTGAGGACAAGGACACCAGAGTGGGCATTTCTCTCTTGATACCCCCCCACACCCAGAGCTGGGGCAGCCCCAACATGAGGCTCTGAGCACCCAAGGAATAAGCAATAATGGTTCCTCTTGTGGGACTGCAGCTGGCAACATGTCTGAAAATCATGGTCCTCCCTTGGCAATGTTTTTATGTAAGTATGCATGTATGTATGTATTTACTTATTTGAGACACAGTCTTGCACTTCCACCCAGGCTGGAGTGCAGTGGTGCAATCTCTGCTCACTGCAATCTCCACTTCCCAGGTTCAAGCCATTCTCCTGCCTCAGCCTTGCGAGTAGCTGGGATTACAAGCACCCACCACCATGCCCAGCTAATTTTTGTATTTATAATAGAGACAGCATTTCACCATGTTGGCCAGGCTGGTTTCAAACTTCTGACCTCAGATGATCCTCCTGCCTCAGCCTCCCAAACTGCTGGGATTACAGGCATGAACCACCTCGCCCAGCTGGATCTTTTTTTATTTTTTTAATGTTCATTTTTTCAGTTTATTGCATGAAGGAATTACACTAGTCCAAGTTAAAAGCAGACTCCAAATGGTTACATGAGACAAACTGTGAAGCTTTTAAACTTGTAACAAGGGAAGGAAGGGAAATTCTACCCATTGCATGGAAATCCTCACTTAAGTTCCCATGAGCCACAAGTACCTAAAACCCTTGAACCATCAGCTGATCGTCCTAAGCCAGTCCGACCTCTGCATGGAACTGGCCTAAGTTCTTGTGCTGGTCACCCTGTCGCTGAATTACTTCTCCATATTCTGGATGCTCAGTTACAATCCGATTGCAGGCAAATTTCCTCTTAAATGCCCTCACTAGTTGCTTTTTACTGTAATCCTCAGTGATCCCTTGGATAGTACCAAGGGGTTTCCTGTCATTTCTCTGTTGAATTCTTGCATGGATCTAATCCTCAGTGCCTGCAGGGAGCAGGTCATCACTCCCCTTTCCACCCCTTTGCCGTCTTTCCACCCCTTTGCTGATGCAAGTAAGTGATCTTACTTGCATTAGCAAAGGGGTGGAAAGACTGGAGTTTCTGGATAGCGGACATTAGAGACAATTCCTTTTCTTCGGTGGAGATGGCCTGTGGAAGGCAGTGGTGTGGCGGGAGAAGGCAGTGTGAGGGGGACAGAGCATGGGGGACTGAGAAGACTCTAAGGGGAGGTTGCTAAGTCCTTGGCTCAGTGACTGAGGCTGGAGGTGCTTTCAGATCAAGGGACAGAGTACACCTAAGTTACTTCCTATCTCTCACGGCCCTCCTGGTGATATAGGAGTTAAGGAGAAATTATTTAGGCAGATAGTGAGGGGAAGGAAGTCCTTGGTAAGGTTTTCTTTTTAATGAAAAGCAGCCTCCAAATTATTTTCTTTTCTAACAAAGAGCAGCTTGTAAAATCAAGCTGCAGATATAGACAAGCGAGCTGGAAGCTTGCCTGGCTGAATGGCAACAGCTGTGTCAACAGGAAAAGAATGGCTGGGGCGAGGCATGTCCAATATGGTGGCTCCATCCTCCCCTTTCCTCGTCAGTCACGTGCACGGTAAGGACCAGGCAACAAGGTGCAGCCCAGTAGAGACCTACTTTGCATAATAAAAGATTAGGGTGGGGTAACCAGTTTCCTCACACTATGTAAACGTTGCACCTAATCTAACCAATCTTGGGCCCTATGTAAATAAGGCACCGCCTCCTCAAGCCTGTCCTTGAAACCCTGGATACTCTGCCACCGCTGGCATGAGGTCCCACTCAAGGGCCCCTCTCTTTCATAGGAGAGTGAGCTGTTCTCCTTTCTCTTTCTTTGCCTATTAAACCTCCACTGTTAACCTCACTCCACGTGTGGTGTGTCCGTGTCCTTTATTTCCTGGGCATGAAGCAATGAACCTCGGGTATTTACCCCAGACAACAACGTTGCTTTACTGGGGGTCTTCTGAGTTCCCCCAAATTGTCTTTTAAGGCCAAATTATGAGACCATGGGCCTAAAATTAAGCCATCTGAACAAGCAGCATATTTCAACATGTTCCTTGAAGCTCCAAGTGCATTCTGATTCAAAGTGCCTCTCTGCAAGATACTGGTTCAAAGCAAACTGAGATTCCTTCCTGTCTGGAGTCTTCCTCTCCCATTCCTGCACCTCCTCCTCTTTATACGTAAAGACACAAGGTTTTGAAAAAATCATTTTGACCTTTGTGCTGTTTCTTTAAAGCAAAGGATGACATTTCCATGTAAAAGATATTCTCCCTATACCAGAAGCAAAGGTAACACTCTACCTTCAAGGGTGAGAAATTGAGACCAAGAGAATCCTGTACAGACATTTTAAGACTAAACTTCCCACTCTAGGGTCTCCTCTCTGCTAGAAGCTGAACACGCATCAAGACACCCCGGCTGTGGAAAGGAGCTTCCCGCTCTGTGTCTCCACTGAGTTGTTCTGTCACTCAATAGAGCTCTTCTTCATCTTGCTCACCCTCCACTTGTCTGCATACCTCATTCCTCCTGGTCACAGGACAAGAACTCAGTACCCACAAAATGGTGAAGATAAAGGAGCTGTAACACAAACAGGGCTGAACATGGCCCTTGCTCACCACATTTCAGGTGAAGAGAAGGGGAAAAAAGCTGCAGCCCTTCAGGGGAGTCCAGACCTGGGAGCTCCCTGAGTCAGGTCTGCGACTCCCTCTTGGGGCCCTCGTGATTCCTGGTGTCTTCAGGCTTCCAGGCACCACCACATTCTCCAGTGCCAGCCAGGGAGGCTGCTTATGGTGAGCCTGGTCCAGCGGCAGCACCCATGCCAGCATACCTGGAGCTGCCTGCCCCTGGCAGCACCTGGCATGTATGACTGACTGCTCAGTGGCTAGGCCCCATGCTCGTTCACACACCCCTCGCCATTCCATACCTGACTCGCGGTCCCACTCAGAGGCGTGGGATCCAGGCCAGCAGAGTGAGCCGAGCACAGCCTGCCAGGCTGAGTGGGTAGAATGAGCCGTTTCGCAGGCCCAAGGGAAACTCAGGGCAAGGTGCCACCAGCCACAGGTTTCCAGCCAGAAGAGCAACACCCCAGAGATCCTGTAACATTGTGAAGGCTTTGGAAAGTTGTATTTAAATTGTTCATAGCTCCGTTTTATCATCTACCTGTAGACTATACTAGACCCTACATTCTAAGTTCCTCCAGTCCAGTTTTCTCCTAAGGAATTACTCAAAGTGGAAGCTGCTCTTTCATAAAGCCCTAGGAGCTAAAACTAAACAACTTAACATACCTATCAAGGGACAAGTATTGTGCCTGATTTGTGGACCACACAGAGAATTCACCAATCATCAACACCAGAACCAGAGACTGCAAAACTGCCGGCCTCATACTGCAGCTCTTCCCAAGACCATCGGAACAAGATTCCATATGATGGTGGTCGGCTCACCCCTATTAATGCCCAGCTTTCTCCCTTGACAGGATAAGCTGTAATTAAAATTTTATATTCAGTAACTCCTTTGGGTAACTTGACAGAACCAGACCTACAAACATGATGTCCCCCACCTAGTGGGTAACTGTGGGGATATTGCTAACACTATTTTTTGTTCAAATTGTACTAGTGGCCCCTTTTATAGAGTTGGCCCTATCTTCCGCTTTATTTCAACCCAGTCATGAAACGCTACTCAATGGCTCCAACAGCTTTCACCTGGTTTTCTTCCCACTTTTTTTTCCAAGTTTTTTTTTTTTTTTTTTTTTTTAAAGGGATAGGGTCTTGTGGTAGGCATGGTGGCTCACGCCTGTAATTCTAGTATTTTGGAAGGCCAAGGGAGGCGGATCATGAAATCAGGAGTCCAAGACCAGCCTGATCAATATAATGAAACCCTGTCTCTACTAAAAATACAAAAATTAGCTTGGCGTGGTGGTGTGGTGTGCCTGTAATCCCAGATACTTGGAAGGCTAAGGCAGGAGAATCACTTGAACCTGGGAGGCAGAGTTTGCAGTGAGCTGAGATTGCACTACTGCACTCCAGCCTGGGCAACAGAACAAGACTCCATCTCAAAAAAAAATAAAGAGCGATAGGGTCTTGCTCTGGTGCCCAGACTGGAGCCATTGCAGTGGCGTGATCCTAGCTCACTGCAACTTTGAAGTCCTGGGTTCCTTCCACCCCAGTCTTCTGAGTAGTTGGGTCTACAGGCCCACACTACCACACCCAGCTAAGTTTTAATAATTACTTTATGTAGAGACAGGGTCTCATTTTGTTGCCCAGGCTGGTCTCAAGTGGGCAGTTAGCCCCAGCCTTCCGGCCAGATGCTCCAGCCTGGCCAAGCGGTCTGGGAATCCATAAGTATTTTTTAAACCTGTGAATATACAGTTCCAGATTTGTGATTTCATTATATGCAAACTGTGCTTCAGATGGGAAATGTCAGCCACACGACAGTCTAGTTAGGGACATGCATGCAGAAGTGTCTGAGGGGAAG